ATACATTAGACTGTGGCTTGAAGCAATGGTCAATGGATACTTCATAAGAACTGGTTGTTTGCTGCTCCACAAAGTTCATTACTGGTCCTGATTTCTCAAGTTCAATTGGGATTTTAAACAATAAGGATTAGCAATTAGAAAAAAAAATCAGGTCACCCAAATTGTGAAACCTTCACATGTCAACCTTTATTTTTACTCTGTAAAATAAAGTGATTTAAATGGACCTAAATAATTAAACTTGTTCCAGTAATGAAAAAAAAAACTATTAACAAGTTAGGACATCCTCCCCCTGCAAATACCCTTGTTTTAGAAGAAATAACTTAATGCAGATGTCAGCCTCTGACATCATCTAAGTAAAGTTTGCAGCATCATTGATATGAGACTTTCCATTATTAGTTCTCAACCAATCCTTGTATTTATTGCCATGGTTTAGGGATCCAGCAGATGATCCAGCAGAGGATCTCTAAACCATCACATTTCCAGCTCCATGCTTCAAAGCTGCCATGAGATTCTTTTCTTTCAATGCTGCACTTATTTTATAACAAATATGTCATCTTTTCTGGTGCCCAAAATCATTCTGTATCAGACTCATTTGTTCAGAGAACATTATTCGAGACGTTTTGGCCTTTGTTTTCTCTCAGGTAATGTTTTAGCTCTTAGCTTCTTGCCTTGGTGATCAGTCTCACTTTAGCTGTGAGGAGGTTTAAACAGGGCAAACCTAATTTAAACATGCTGACCAATGGTTTTCTTATCATGTGTAACCAAAAGTGACGCACCACTGTGTGACTATTTCAAGCTAAAGTAAACTTGGAGGTGTCCTAATTATTCCTCACCTGAAAGAATTTAAAAGATATTTCCCTGGCAAAAATTTATATTAAAAATCTAAATGTATTACGATGTTAGAAAAAAAAAATCTGTTGTAGAGTGTTTTTTTCCCCTCAGTGGTCTCTGCAGAGGTGAAATTTAAAGTGATTCTGTTTTCAAAGAGGTCAACACAACCAAATTCCTTTATGCTTTTACTCCACAAAGCATTTACAAGTTTAATTTGTCCATTGAGGTGGATGAAATCAGTTTGTTAATGATCCAGAACAACCAACCACAGGGACATTCAACTAAGCTCCAGGTGAAATTGTTTGTTTCAGCCAATGACAAGCTGAGATTGTTATCCAACTGAGTTCAAACACAGAAGTTAAGTTGACCCCATGAAAGAACTCCATTCAAAAAAGTTTGATATAACCACAAAATATAATCTCCTGCAAATACCAGTTGGCTCACATGTTGATTGATTTCTCTAAAGAATGCATTCATACTGGAATTATTTTGTAAGTTTCCAGTTTGGAAGAGAAGCAATAAATAAATAAAACAAAATTAAGCATATTATGCAATTTAATGTTGTGGAGCTGTCCTAAAGAGGACGTCGAGGAAATAAATTGCCATGTTATTGTTTATCAGAAATTTCAAATTTGATTTCCTGGAGTCTCCAATCGTACGTCTAGATTTACACTCACTTATGAACAAAGCTTTCCAAATCTGTAACCACACGGGTCTGGCAGCACAAGAACGACCTCTGAATGAGGATTGTGTGCACAGCACCAAAAATTTGCTAAGACATGTGGTTTTTCAGACCATGCCTTGTCTTTCCTCCTGTGCCATTATTTTGCCAGTGTTTTGGCATCTCAGCTTGAACTCTGGTTTAGATAAATACATCTAAGTATCCAACAGAAGTTGAGATTTTAGAAAGTCTGGGTCAGCCTGGAAACAAACTGTACAGATCAGATCAAACTGTACTCTTAGTATAGTGTTAGAGGTCAGGAACAAAACTCCCTTAAAGACAACACAGTTAGCAAAATAGTCAAGCCAATCTCTCAAATAAAAAAATCAAACCTGTCGGTAGTTGTTACTTTGAAAGGGACAACTCTCTTTACTACTGCTTTTGAGCAGTCTAATGAAACATTTCTGCTTTGCTTGGTTTTAGATTACAAAAATGTGAGGAAAATTCATTTTTCTCAGATGACTCTTAAGAGTCAGTGGTTAGAGGATAATGGCAAAGGGCAAAAAGCATCACTGTGTATTACTGATTAGTACAAAGCAAATCATTTTCTCTAAATCTTGTACCTGTTCTTCCATGCATATCATCCCAGAATTTCCAAACTATGAATGTTTTATGACACTGACAAGTGTCCAATTCAGCAATATAAGTGAATAATCTTATTTGTCTATTTTTTGCCATGATTCTAACTATTCTAACTCAGCTCTTATAGAGGCTCCTCTGCAGGAAGCAAACAGAAGCGACACAGGAACTGATGAAACGGATGAGCCCAGAAGAAGTGTTGCTTAATCTGGTTAGAGGGTGGCCTTATCTGGTTGAATTGTACATTTTGCTACCTTTGTCTAATTTTGCTAATATAATATTATTGTACCATTTTAATGTTGTCTTACTTTTGTCCTGTGGTGTTAGTCCAACATCACATATGTAACATTCTTCAAGAAAATTTTATTAATCTGTATCCAACCTGATTCCAAAGTGGTAAATCATCAAAACATACAGTGAACTGAGGCAGAAACAATACAAAGCTATCTTTATTAAATCAAAAGTCATGGGGAGAGCAACAAAATATCTATGAAATAATTCATCCTTACAACTTAGTGTCCTTTTGGATTTACTCTAACATTAAAACTGCCCTATAAGATTCTCTAAAATTCCAATATGATCCCTGGTGGCGAGACAATTCAACAAATTTCCCTCAGGATCTGACAAACTGTGTATTTTTTACAAGGTGTTACGAGAACAGAGGCATTCTAATCTAGACAGACTCTTATCAGAGTTATGTCACAATCTGGGTTCATTGTAGTGGAATATATTATTAGCCTTACTGGGGTCATTGTGCGGGTCCAGCTGAATCAGAACCCGGAGTGCCCCACATGATGCTCATGATCACTTGAGCTGGGCTCACACCAACACTCTTCCTCTCACTCATCTCCTACAGAGAAGATCAAGCTTAGGTTCTTCTTTTAACTTCCTTTAGTCATGTCTCCTCTCTTTACTCATGGTTTGTCTCGCTCAAATCAAAATTTCATTTCTCTTCTTCAAAAAGAAGAAGAGTATTTTTTTACTTACGATTACAGGCAATGATGGATACAAGAAACAAGCTCTTTTTTATTCTCTGTTCCCACCGATCAATTTCACTAACCCTCATACTTATCAAACTAAAAGGCTAAAGCTTTCAAGGTCGTCTAAGTCTCACACTGCTCACCCTTATTTAGCCGCCGTCTCACAGGTCTTGATTTCTTGCTCAGATAGGCTGTCATATACCTTCACGAGATGACTAAATGCTTTAAATTTAACTTTTTTCATTTTCTTTCTAATAAGAATAGAGAGGTAAAAAAAATACAAATAAAATCATATTCTACAATCACAAGACAAATATAGGGAAAACTATTTGAATTCATAACAATATAAAGATGATTTAATCATGTTTAAGGTACTTTAATTTACAGAAGTATTTTTAACCATATAATGTCAGTGACTTGTTCTGCATTTATAGGCAATTCAATGAGTTATTTCATAATGACGCACATCAAATTTAAACCTATATTCAACCTATTTGCTTCATCTCTCCTACTGTTTACAAGCCGTCCCTCACAACATTCGTTTCCCAAATATATATATAAAAAACGCTTAACAAAAATTAAAGATGTATTTCATAGGTCCACACTGAACCAAGAAAACACCACAAAGTGCTCCTTATTTCCAGAGTTTCTATCATATCACCTCTTCAAATAAATGGCCAAGCGCAAACACTCGCCCAAAATTAAGATCCCATGTTTTCAACCAAAAAAACAGTTGAACTCTGAGCCTTACAAATCTTGTCCTTCGGCGTGCATCGGCTCTCCCGGAGCCGAGGGTCACTTTATGCGTTGCAAAACTTCACTAATTTACTTCCAGTATTCATTGAAACACCTTCACCACCCACTAATGCTTGCAAATCACCCTTAAAGGCTGTATGCAGCCAAAGCTCCCTCAGCCATGCGGTGCACCTGAGAGCATGACTCTGATTCCTCACCAAGGTGGTGTTTGTGCTGCTTTGTAGCATTACTGCAACAGATGTGCTGCTAATGAATATGCTTTGTTTACTTGTGGGTGGTAAGTGTTTATCAGAAAATGCGCCATGTTTTTTCACAAACACAAAGTTCAGTAAGATGCAAGAGGACCCATGTGTTTTTATTGGTTTGCATGATGCCGCTCAAGTGAGTCTAATTAACAACAGAATGGTTCCTGGGCAATTAACTCACGTAACAATCAAACTCAGATTTATTCACTGTTAAACTGTGTATTAAGAATTACTATTTGCCTGGTGTGTAATCACATTTACATGTCCTGGACTTGGTAGGCCTTTAATACGTATAATTATGTGTTTGGCATGCAATTATGGAAACAAAGAGGGCAGAACTTTAGCACTCATGGTTTTGTTCATATAGAAAAAGCTAAGATATTTCCTTTCTAATCTGTAAAAATTAAATAGTGGAAATTAACATTAATAACATGGCTTGAAAAATATAAATACACTTTATGTTTCACTTGGTTTAGCATAATAAAGGCAGGATTAACACATTCATGTGATCTGTTACACTCTCATTTTAAGTTAAATTGAGAAATATAATTCAAAGAAGAACTTAAATGAGTCGTGTTCATTTGGAGCAATTTAGATTAAACCAGTCTGCAGACAAAATGCACTAATTCCTTCTCTGCACCTGGGATTGGTTTACAATGCTGCAGATGAAAGGATGGTGTTGATGGAAATGCGCTGATAATAGAGCGATAAAAGACACCAAGTGCATTTGCTGCAATTAAAGAAAAGAAAATCGAGATGTAAACTTGACCCCAACCAGCAAAAGAAAATATAACAAATACTATTATGACTACTACTGCCACTACTACGAATAATAATAATAATTGTCACAACAGCATTAATAATAATAATAAAAATGGAACAAATTACCGTTGACAGCACTGAGCTCCGCTGATATCCCAAACGCTCATCCTCTGAGCAGCTTTATTCCCTCTCTCTCAGGTCGGGTCGCTGCGCTGTAATCCAACTTTCAGCAGAGATTCTGGAGGAAGAAGTTCAGCTCTCCGACCTGTCGGCGACACCGCGAGCACCGGCGGTCTGCGGCTTCAAACGAAACTCCTGAAGAAGGAGTGAAAGGAGTAGAAACACTCTGTGTGCGGTGGGCGCTTGTGGCCGTTCTGTGCGGGTTTCCGCGTGTGCGTGTGAGTGAGTGCGTGTTCTGGCCGAGCCGCTCCGCTCCTCGTAGCCGCGTGACGCAACTGGACGCCTGGGGGGAGGAGGGTGCGCGTGTCGCCTTGGTCTCGTTGAGACGAAAGATGGATGCAAAGCGCTTCTGACCAATTATATATGTTAAAAGTGTTTAGAAAGTGCTCACAGGACTTGCTCTTATTGATGTCTTGTTTTTAGTATTCACCTGGCAAAATATGTTCAACTTTGAAAACAATATTTTAATAATTGACTGTATTTTTCAGTGGCTTTATAAGTGCAGCTTAAGACATCAGAGTCATGTGTTCACTTCTTTCTTTATAAGATTCTCACCTTTACGGCAGGAGATGCGGTGGAATCTGGGAAAGAGGGCGGAGCTTAAAGCAATCAGCTAAAATTGATTATCGTTTGCTGAGATGTGTTTATGTACAAACCAAAGTTCAAACCAAAGAAAGGTCACACTATAACGTTTTTTTTTTTTTTGCACACTTAGTTGAGATATATATAAACTAAAACCAATCAAATTAGGTCTGATAATATCCTCATTCTCCATAAATAAATCAACCTTTCGTTTAAATTTAAGCAATTATGGGAAACTACTTTTTTTTCTTTTTCTTTTTTTTTGTAACTGCAGTAGAGGCTCAGGAGTTGCAGGTTATAAAGAGAAACAAGATGCACCATCACAGAGTTTAATTTTATTACATTATAATAAAGTAAATTAAACTGCAATATGTTAGTAATATTACTATACTGTTCATAAGAAAATGGTTTGCCTGGAAAGCACTAATTAAAAAATTCTCATACTGAATTTTGTTTGCTGCTGAAAGACTAAACAGTTAAATAAGAAGTTTTATTTATATAATTCCTTTCACATATATATATATATATATATATATATATATATATATATATATATATATATATATATATATATATATATATATATATATATATATATATATATATATATAGTATATATATATATATATATATATATATATATATATATATATATATATATATATATATATATATATATATATATCACAAAAAGTGATTTAAAAGAGAAAAAATCTGAAATAATACAGAAATGAAATATCAGAAACAGCTGTAATTTCTCTAAAAATATGTGAATTCTTTTTCTCTGAGACAAAGCAATATAAATTGGCTTGCTGAGCAGACCTGAGCCTGTTATTTCTTGTGTGTGTCTGGCGGTCTCTTTACTCTAAATAAAACCTAAATCTGATGTGATCACCGTGAAGAAGCCAAGATGAAATGATATGTGTTTACTTTGAGGATTCTTCCTCTCACACTGGATCTTTTTGGGCAGCTAATCAATCACCTGGTTGACAGTTTTGCAGAGCCTGCAGAGATAAATGCTTTCCAGAAGCACCACACACCTCACGCTGTCAGTGTTGTTTTAAATCCTTGGGAAAATCTTGTTCAACAACATTAGACAACAAAGGTGTTTCTCTTGCATTTTATCAACTTCAATCAATCGCCTTCATCACCGGTCATCATATCTTTTTGTGGAGAAATCACGTCCTAGCAGCAGACTTCTTCTGATAGTGGTGGGGACTGTTTGAGCAAAAACAGCTTTTTCTTGCCAAACACACTATTGAACAAACTACATACTGTGAACTTTGCCCATAAACAGAGTTCAAGGACCTTCTGTGTCAATAAGCTGCATACAACTTGTATGGATTCTCTGTGAAAAATATACTGAAACGCAACACGTTTTAAACTATTTTGTTATGTAGTAATCTTTCCTTTCCTGTTAAATACAAATTGTTTTTATAATCATACATATCCTCTTCTCTTTTCAAATGTGTAATAGTCATTCATTTTTGCTTACAGTGCTGTTGATGAAGGAACCAGTGGCAGCAAACGGGGTCAACAGGTCAAATACCTCCACGTACTGAAATTTTTATCAGTCGCGCGCTGCAGCAGATGCTGCAGCCGAAGATGCTGAGCTTTGAGCCGGGTTGCAAACCGGCCAGCAGCAGCTCCTGTATGTGACTTTTGCCCTATCCATTTGAAACAAAGGAGAACTCGTGACTGAACGGTGATGCAAGAACCACTCCAACCTCCTGTGGACCATGGTCACACACAATACTACGGTCTAATAGTCAGGCATCCTTACTTCCACACGGAAATGCTGAAACGCATTTTCGTCAGGTGCAGCCCCTCCTCCACATCTCATCCTCTCGCCACCCTGAGGCAGAGTATGTGAGGTTTTCAGCAGCAGATTGAACCTTTTATAAAAGCTGCATGACTTTGCGTACCAAAGCGTCTCACTTTTCTGATCATATCTTGCATGTGTAGATTATCCACTACATTCTGGTGAATTTAAAATAAAAAAAAAGGCTGAACTGCTTTTAAGTCAAAATAAATTCTTAGTTTATTTTATTTTAAAAGTTTAGGAATCAGGAGGTACAAAATCAAAGTTACAGCTTTCACTGTCTGTAATGATTTTCATGGCTATGACTGCTGATGTTGGTCCATCGTGTTTTATCAAGTCCAAAGTCAGCACAGCTGTCTCGCAAGAAAGCTTTATGTAAATCCAGCAGGACTTGGCAACCCTTCAGACCACCAAAAGTACCAACACCTGGTTTAATGACATGATATCACTGTGTGAAATCTATCCTAACTTATGCTCCATAAAAAATGTCAGGATGATTCCCAAGAAGGAGATGAGAGACGTCGGACAAAACAATCCAGACGAGCTGAAAGCTTCTCTTAACGCAACCTGCTTCAAAAACACCACAGAGCCACAGGATGATCCTCTTCATCAGCCTGTGGCGTACCAATTACTTCATCAGCACTGCACTGATGAAGTCATTTCAGCAAAAGGAGCTGTGAATAAGTATTAGGCCGATACATGTCGAACTTTACAGCACAGTGCTATTTCAGTGTGGGTTTTTTTTGTTGTTGTTGCTCATATGGAATATTTGAAATTTCTGAAGTACAAAGGTTTTTCACAATTATCAAATTTATCTCAAGGAATAAATACTTGAGATATAATTAATCTAGGTGGTATAAGTTTCACCCTTTTGAGCTGAATTAGTCTTATTGAACTTTTCAGTGATATTCAAATTAACTGAGATGTGCTTGTGCAACAACTGGTTTAGGAATTTATTTACTGGTTAGAATAGTTAACTGGTAACATTTAGACAAATATATCATAGACTATAAATAAAGTTATCCTCACTTCCAACCTTTTCTTTCTCTAATCCCATTGGTCACACTGGGATGTTGTCTAAATTTACCCTGCATCTAATACAGTTACTGTAAATGTTTCCAAAATGGACATTTAAAGCGAGAGATTTCCCTTCTGTAAAAGTATTACCATGTTTAGTCGGTCGTCTTCATGGTTTCAAGTAGCAACTGAGATCTGCCTGTAGTTCAGGCAGATCTCAGACGCCACACTTCACATCACCACTTGAAAACAAAAATAAATTCACAGTGTTTGCTTGCATCTCATTCAAATTTCTCCACCGCTGTCAAGACAAATTTATGTTCAGATGCTCTCGCAGCCAGTTGATTACTTCATCCACAGAGTTGGGAAAATTTTAGTCAACGATGAGGTAAGAAAGCATCCAGAAAGAAAGAGAAACTGGAAGAACAAATGGACAGATGAGAGTGCTTTGTGTGTGTCAGGGTTAGATGTGTTCTGGCCTCAGGTTTGCCAGTCCCCTCAGAAAAAGGTCTGTGTTCCCTCCCACCCCCCGATTCTGAACGTGCTCTTTGAGTCTGGCAATGGCACTGGCATTTGATCAGGCCGTATTTTCCCCCTGGTAACATGAGTTCATGGCGCTGCAACACATAAATGTTTTCTCATAGCTTGGAAGGGAATTAGAGGCTTTCAAAAGATGTTGGTTTTAGTTGTGGGTCACATTTGCATTTCTCACATGCTGATTTTACCGTAAACACAGAGAACCGTTTTGAGGTTCTCTGTGTTTAGATATTTGAGTGATATTTTACTGAGTGTTACAGTAAAAGCAAAACGTCTTGTTTTTGTAGGTGATTGGGTTTGAGTGTGTCAGATTTGCTTGTCACTCAGTGTAAATACCTCATTCAGAAGCTGTCTAAGGGAAAATCTCCTGCATGCATCTTTAAACAGTTTTACCCAGACTGACTTCAGGAGTGAAATAAAAGCTTCTGAGATGGAGCCAGAAAACAGATGTGTTTCTTTCTTAGCAGCGAGGGTTGAATCCCCTAACAAGGCGACGTGGAGCACAAACACCAGTGTGTTTCCATTGAAGCATTTCTGCACTCTCATGTGATTCCCCACTCCTCTTTGAGAGTTCTCTGGCCAAATCCCGTCAGTGACGCTGTCAGGGTGTATCAGAAAGGAGCAGATAGATGTACGGTCATGTTGACGAGCTATCAGCTGTGCTTCTCGCCTTGCCGCCCCTGACAGCCGGCTGGCAGGAGAGCGATTCTCCCTGGAGAGGCGTCTTCGTGGAATAATGTTATCACAAGTCAAGTTTCCCACCGTGAGGTCAAATTAAAACCCGCATGTTGGAAATGTGAAATAGCTTTCATGGTTGATGGAGAGGCTTAATGCAAATGTTTCGTGGCAACATGAGCAATTTATAAAACAATGGGATGTCGTCTGCATTCTTGTTTCACCTCTCAAATGGTAATTGTATCATAAGTCAATTAATGTAATGCTATACATAATGTTCAAATATTATTATATTTGAAATGTTTTATGTTTGAGAGAAAATCTTTTTATTAAAATATGATGAAGCAGATACTTTTTTTATATTGGCCACATTTTTTAAACACTGGCTGTAAAAGCTGCTCAAAAAAACATTTTTAATCTAACCTATTTACATTAGCTTACACTGAATGTTTTGAAAAATAGTGTAAATTTGAGTGGATTTATTAAGTGGGGAAACAACCTCGTGTTCAGAGATTCTTGTTTTCTGTATGATTTAGGTCTGAAGAAAATGGAGGAAGACTGGTTTTGTCT